GCATGTATTCCGGAAGTTTTCATCAGATTTGCATATTCGTTTTTGAAGCCGACGTAGCCAAGGTCTCGTAGCCGAGGCTTGGCTCCGTCGGATTGCTATGTACAGCCGTATAATATATTTTGTGAGCATTAGCCCTCCACGCTAAAATGCACAAGGGTTAAGCTACGGTAAGGTACCTATTGAAGATTCGCCTTTATGATTCTAAAAATGCAACGGATTTTTCTAAGCAAGGAAACTCTCGATTTCGATCTCAGTTGACGGCTTTGGTATCGAAACCGTTACTGCGATATTTTTTAGAACCCGTGGATCAGAGGGAGTAAAATTTTGAGATTTTGAGATTTGTTACGATTAGCGTGTTTTTACCGTTCTGTATTTTAATTTTAAATACGTTTTGAAGATTTGCTAGACGTTTGAGCACCATCTAAAAATTATAAGAAACGTTTCAGAGCAGTAATCCATCGTGTCTGGTATGCCACTATCAGTCCCCGCTACTTATAACCTCACATTATAATACACCCACCCGATCTCAAGTATTCCCCCGCCCCCGTCGTCACTCACTCATGCATACAGAGTAATATTATCGTAGCTACAGGGATCCATCTCCCCGGGAGCCAGTCTCGTTTTTGCTAGTTCTTGCTTATAGCTCTCTCTACCTCCCTATCTCTCTCTCTCTCTCTCTCTCTCTCTCTCTCCCACCAGAGCCCTGTAGAAACCCCTATAACACACCAATACTTGCCAATCTTTGTTGCTTCTTTCTTCATATTCTCGACTGACTTGGCAGGCAGAAGCTTTGGGCGTTCACCCCAAAGTGTGACCTAACTCTCCTGCCATTGAGCTTCATCCTTTTTTGCGTGGATCCTCCCACACAGCTCTACTACAGCTTATCCCCTGACGCATCTCGCAGCTAGTTTTGGGCTCCTTTATGACAGAGCTAGCTAGCTGACTAGGTGTTCGGTGTGTACAGAGGTGTACAGCGACGTCAGAGTACTGGAAAGTACTACCTACAAAGCCGTGACACACGGTTTTAAGATATTTTCAGTCAGAGAAGTCATTTTCTAGCATTTTAGCGCGCAATTTGGTGGGTTTCGTCGCTGTACTGCCAGCAATTCATCGAATATTTAGAAACGGCGGATTATCGTTTCCTAGAGTCATTGAAGTGCGTAATTTACTGGAACTCGTTGTTGTATATTAATTGTATATGTTACTGCCGACTAATTCTAAGCATAATTACCTTAATGGTACCGATTGACAGCATTATTGAACAACAGAATTTTGCGTTGATTTTAGATTTAGCGCGTTATTAGAAGAAGCCGTATACTTATTGTTTTTATTAAACATTTTTATTTATCATACTTTGTTATACAGAATCGATAATAAATCGTTTTCAACCCTTATATGTCCTTTTTGGTCCTAGGAAAGCTTAATCCGCAATTTTCTAGCGTATTCGATGTGTTTTGCTGTTTTGGAGGTTTTCTGGGCGCGAAAAGCGGAAGTTTTTGTCCAGTTTCTGTCATTAACTACCTTATAATTACAACTATTCGAATTACTCTGCATTGCCTGCTCACATTAAGCCGAGCTCCAGACATCGCGCTCATTCCATCAACCCACCGGTGCAAGTGCAATTTCGCATGCAACCGGAATTTTTCCTGGTGATACGGGGGAACTTCCCGGATCTTCTAATCCACCCCGCAAAGGAAGACAATTTTATGGTCTAATTGAGTTGAGGACGTTGCTTGAAGGAGATCGCTTGGATAGACATCGTCTACATAGATGCTGGATTCCGGCCGTATTTCCTTGTTTACCGTTGCTCTGCTGCGTAATCTGGGAGCGCGATCTTGATCGGCCGTGTCGATATTCAAATTTAGTGCATCTGCCCCATTGGGAGCTGCGAACGGTAAACAAACTGGAGCCCCAATTTGGGAGCTTTAGGATTATTAGTCTTATGGAGCACGAGCTTGATCTGCAGTTTCATACTCACCTTAAGATTTTGCTTCTAATCTGTTTCGTGAGATTCATCTTGCTGTCTTTTTCAAAGTTGACGGACTTTTGTCAAAGCTTACGATTAAGGCTCCGTGTCAGCTTCAAATCGAGCATGAGCTTCTTTTTCGGCTTCAGGCCCCCTACGCTTTAGCTTCACTTTCACGTCGAGCTTGAATACCCTGTTCTCTCGCTCAAATTTACGCAGCAAGTTTAAGGGCTAATATCTGGGCCTGCCTTAGCTTGAGCCCGAGATTGAGCTAGGCTTAGGCTCCAGCTCAACCGAAATTTTGTAGCTTAAGCTTATGGCCCTAGCCTAAGTTTCAGCTGGTTCTCAGCGTAAACTACAGCTGGGCCTAGAGCTAGGCGTATCTTAAGCAGAGGTTTCGGTTCGATCTCCATGTTTTCAAGCGCGAAATTTCTTCAAGGTTTTCCAAGCCTAATCATTTCTGGTCTGTCGTTTCTGGCATCACTCCAAGAGCCTAAACCGATCAAACCGCTCCCCTAAAAAGGTCAAACGCATTTTTTGCCCCAATTTCCGGTCGTTCGGAGGGTGTCACCCCTCCGCCTATCCATCGTTTAGCCTCTGCAGCCTACTGGCAACTAGTGACCCGAATCTTTCTCCCCCACTAGCTCGTTCTCCCCCTTAGCGTTTAGAAAGCCCGCCTGAGGAGAAGGATCGATGGATGTGGCTAGGATTGGATGGATGGTATAGGGGGCTTGACCGTTTGAGGGGGCTAAAGCGGAGAAAGTCACACAGCTCTTTTTCGCTAGACTGAGGTGTTCGAAGCATACGTCATGGCGTTTCCTGATGTGAAAAAGTCATAAAACTTCTTATTTGAACGTTATTTTCCTAGAATTTTTGAAGCTGGCAAGCCAGCAGAGGCAATTTAGCGATTATTCTTTGAGCTATCGTTGTCTCTATGATTCCCTCAAACCCATTCTCAGTCCCATTCTGGAATTGGTAAGCTAACAGAAACAATTTGATTGACTGTTTCCGGCTTTCGCTGTGCATTAATAATCATACTCCTGGTTTTCCCTGTCTTGTTTCATTTCGGCGCTTTGGGGCAATAACCGAACCCTTGTTTTCACGCCATAATTAGAAATCCTTGTTGCTGCACTCTTGATGGATTAATTGACACTCCGACTCGGTAGTTTCTTTAAAACTGAACTTTTGATTTTTGTTTTTTTTGCTACAATCCCTCCGAACTGACCCCCGAAATGCAAGTCGGGAGCGCGACCAAAAAAACCGCCGTGGGCGTCTCCTAGCTTGCCTAGCCCCTAGCCAGACCGCCATCACGCACTGTGCGCCAGTCCGCCTAGCATCAAGGAAGAGAGAGTGGAAAAACGGGGAAAACGGCAGAAGCTTTCCTACGGCATGGCTAAATGGAAATATCAAAATTGGGAGCTTAGCCCTTTTCCCAACCTAAGATTATGGCTTTTTAAGTTAGTCGGAGACCGATTTCTTCATAACGTTTTTCCGTATCCTGCTCATTCTCTCGCTAACCCTCTCTCCCTCTTTGTCTGTGCATTTATTGCTCTTGGCAAATTTGGCATTATTTTCACTTTCTAACGCCTCTAATTCCCCAAATTTTGACACCCAGGCGAAAGCAGCGTTGCCCCCCATAAATCCGTCATCTAGGGTGCGACCCCATATTCGATCTATCTCCTCTCGTCCCCCCTCCGGGGCTTGTCAAAAGGGATCTCGGCCTTGCAGCCTACAATAGACCCCAGGAAGGGGAAGCGCTAGGCCACGAGACGCTCCTCCCGAGACGAGTGGGTGTGATTTCGTTTTTCAATGCTCTGGGATTTCCGGAAGCTCATTAAAACTAAACCCCTTCAAAAGTCTCGCTTTCGCTCGCGCTCTCTATCTCCCGCCCTCTATCGCACTCTTTCTCCATGTTTTGGCTTTCGTTGGCTCTTAGTCGTTTCCAAAATTTCTCGCTCTCGCTTTTTCTCTTGTTCTCTCCCCATCTTGTCGATCTTCATCCCCTCGCGCTCCCTCTCTGTGTGTCTCGCTCTCGCTCTCTCGCTTTCTCTCTCAGTCAGCAGGCTATTTTTGCTGGCACTATCCCTTTAAAACCACCAAATTTCCTAAGATTTATGCAGGCTTGGCATAACCGAATTTCGTGGAAATAGGTGTCAATAGAAACCTTCGCAGACACTTCCAAAATTTGCATTTATGCTAATCAAGGAACCATCTAAATAAATCCCGCGACTACAAGCCGCTCCCCTGGCACGATTCGGGGGAGTGTGATTTCATTTTTCGACAGTCCTCCTCCCCCTCTTGCTCCCCGTATCCAACAAGCCATGTCCCCCCCAGGTCATCCGCCCTGACTCCTGCCCGAAATCCGGTTTTCCGAAATCCAGACCCCGGGTCTGTGCCTTGGGGGCATCGAGAGGACCACTGGATATACCCACTTTCTTCTCGTGCTTCTCTCTCTCTCGCTCTCTCTTTCCTCGATCCAGTCATCAATATCGATTGTTTTTCGGGCGGATGAATTGGCTGGGCTGAATTTCTGGAGCCAACCTGAAGACTGGATCGATTTTCGGGGCTCCCGAATGATTAGCCAGTTTTGAGGGGCAGGGCTGCCTGGCTTTGGGATGCTCGGAGATCTGAAGGAAAATAGGCTATAATTTTCGATGATTGATTTATTGCAGAAGTTTATCATTTAACGCTCTGTTTAACGTAAAAATCCTACTGTAGTAATGTCGCGGAATAGTTACCGTGGAGTCCGAAAACTTCCATAAACTCGCTTGCACCCCCATAACCGCCCGTTTTTATGATTTGTTACTTTTGGCGTTTTACATGGTTTTAGATAATTTTTATAAGATTTAAATCGTAAATAAAAACTGAAACCGGTTTTTATGTGGGTTTCTATGTGCACTTTAGTCTAGAAAACTTGGCTTTTCAGAAATATTTCAATGCTTGTTGCGTTTTTTAATTGTTTTCATTTTAGTTGTGTGTTTTTTATGAATATACATGCTTTCCTACACACTCTATAAACCAAACATTTTCAGCAATGAGGTTACAATTGATACTGGGCCTATTTTTGGTCGTACACCTCGCCAATGGTCAGGCCGCCCCAAATACTGTAAGTTTATCTTTTTTATACGAACTTATTGATTTAGTAGTAGTAGTAGTAGCACTTTTACAAGGTGTCAACGTATTAACAGACTTAACAGACACCTCCGAAATTCTAGATTTTATTTTAAGGATACCCCACCCGCCGCCAGCCCAGAAGACGAGCAGCCAGATGACACTGAAGACGCTCCTTTTCAGTTCACTGAAGAGGCTGCTTTCCACGATATGGTAGGCCGCATTTTTATGGATTGTTTATATTTACTGTGTTTTAGAAAACCCTGCCGCAGGTCCCTGAAGATAAGAAGAAGGTATAAAAATAGCGGAATTTCTTAAATTCCATATTTCAGCCCGAAAAGGACAGCCACGAGCCCACCGGCGCCCCGCCGATGCACGAGGTTTTTGATGTTTAAAAATACACAGAATATTTTTTTTATTGTATCGAAACTATTTTTAGTCGTAGTTATTGAACTTGGATAAGAAAAATTATTTAAAATTATTTCCTAGGCGGAAAAGAATCGCTTTAAAATACAGGAATCGACTGGTAGGCGTTTAACGGATTCGTGAGAACAAAAAATTCATTCTTTTGCTAATTGAATATGAAATCGAGATTAAAAGGTATTAATTATGCCAAAAATGTTAATTTAGATAAAACTACAAAAATTCATTTAACTAGAGCAGCGAAAGATTTTTTATTTTTGGTTATTCAAAGCACTTTACATCACAAAAAAGTCTAAAAAACCCCTCAAATGAATTATAACATTTTTTTATTTAAAAAAACAGCACCCGTAATTGGTATTTTTGTGAAAGTAGGACACCTCAAAAATCCGAAAAATCCAACAATCACCAAAAAACACAAAAATATGTCACCTAGATGGGTATTGTTTAGCACTCACACCACATGCACGACGGCGAGATCAGCAGCAAGGCTATGGACGAGCCTGCACCAGTTCCGGACCCGGCACCCACCTCGAAGTCGACGGAAACCCAGGCTTCTGGAGCTTCTGAAGCCTCGGAGTCTACTGAAGCCGACAGGCCAGCTTCCGCCAACACCAGTGACAACGGGAAATCGGAAGAAGAAGAGGAGGTTGACTACGAGGTGCCTCCGGAGAAGCAGGTCCACCATGAGCACCACCACGAGCACGAGCAACACCAACACGAGCATGGTCATCAACACGAGCAAGTTCAAGAGACGATGATGACCGGGGATTCTGGCTTGATGCCAAATTCGGCTGGACCCAGCGATTCCGGATTAATGCCAAATACCGGAGGGCCGATGGATTCTGGGCTTATGCCGAATTCTGGGGGCCCAACTTCCGATGTGAATTCTGGAGACACTGGAATGTCAAAATCCGCACCTCCACCTCCCCCTCCACCACAACCCGAGCCCGAACCGGCACCCACCCACACACATTTGGTGAGTTGAAATATGCAAATTTTGGCACCGGATTACGAGAAAGTCACGAAATTTGAGATTTTAGTTGGTTTGCATACAGAATTTTGAGTCGGTAAAATGAGTTTGGTTTTTAAGGCACAAAGATGACTTCGAACCATTTTCACTTGTTTTATTTTAATTTAAATTTGAATTCGGGGGGGAATAAGTTCGTTAACCCCAGGATTGCACTAGAAGCTTCTCGAAAACAAAAAAAATCGCAAAGCGGTTTGAAGTATTTTTAATATATTGTTTAGCATAAGTTTAACCTTAATATTTCTTTTTTCGATTTTGTTTAATTTCGTGCTCAAACTCTAATTTTATTAAGTTTGTTGTGTGTGTGCGAAAACCCAGTAATTTAGACAAAACTCTAGGAAACCTGGAAAAATTTGGAAAAAGGTACTCAGATCTACTTTATTTTTATCCCCTTCCTTCATTAAAAAATTTACTAAAGTTACATTATGGCGTACAAACAATAATTTTAAACTTAAAAGTTAATTATACATCATTTCAGACCAAGGAACCGGTGCCACTTCCCGAGCCGGCCATCAAGTTCGACAACATCAAGGACGAGGACTACGGAGATAACGTTTTGGACAATGTAAGCTAAAGCTGCTCTCTCTCTCTCTATTTCTTTCTTTCTCTCGCTCAATCTCTATCTCTATCTCTCCCTCTAAAAAATCTTCTTCAGACCAAGCCCGCCGACATTGACAACGAGGCCATCGCCCAGCTCGTCACTCAATTCTTGGAGGGACCTGATAAGGTAAAATTTGCATTTTAAAGGGACGTTGAAGGCAAAATCAAAGCAACCGTCTTCATCAATTAAATTTTGTTTTTTAAGAATAAGCCCGGCCCCAAGTTCGCCAACGAGGCCGCCCAGAAGTTGGTCAACTCCAGCCCCTACTGGCTGGACAAGGGCATCAAGCCGGCCGGATCGGTCAAGGACCCCGAGGAGGCCAAGATGTGGTTGGATGGGTATTACCTGGAGGCGCAGAAGGTGTTGTACCAGGTGAGCATCAGCATTATGAACTTTTAAACGGACAGGAACACCTTAAAAACCGAAAAATTTCAACGGAAATTAAGGAAAACTTGTTAAAACCCCCTGTTTAGGTCACCACCGCCGGGTGGCACTACTTCACCTCGATCTCGGGAGACTCGAGGAAGGCGCTGGCTGAGGCTCAGGTATGTAAAAATCGCTCGCTGTCTCTCGCTGTCTCTCTCTCGCTCTGTCTCTCTATCAATTCAAATTTTCAGGACGTCATGTCCCGTTTTGTCCGCTCCACCTCCATGCAGGCCAAGCAGTTCGACAGCTCGGTGATGCCGGAAGAGGTTTGTCAATTTGAAGTCGCAAATGAGCATCTACTTAAGATGCAACGCCAGCTGAACTACGTCTCCTTCGAGGGGATGAGCGCGTTGAGTGAGAAGGATCATCAGGCGTACACTTCAGCCCAAGATCACGTAAGTTATAGAAGAGCCTAATAAGCATAAGCCAAAGCCTCAGCCTCAGCCTCAGCCTAAGCCCTGCGTAAGCTTGAGCTCAAGCAAGCCTAAATCTAAGCCTGAATCTTAGCTTACGCCTACGCCTAAGCCAAGCTTAAGCCGAAGCCAGAGCCTAAGCCTAAGCCTAATCCTAAGCCAAGCCGAAGACTAAGCTTCAACCCCAGCCTAATCCTAATCTAAAGCCTAAGCAAAAGCCTATTGAACTGTTTTCAGGTCAACCAGCAAGTCTCCGAGACGGTCACCTGCGAGAAGGACATCAAGCCTTGCGGACTCAAGTAGGTTTTTGAAGCTGTAAATTTAGAGCTCGGAACTACGGTAGTTCCAAAATGTCCACTTAAACCCCCTCAAACTCATTCATCTACAGGAAGAGCGACATCTCCTCCATGTTCACCGCCGACAAGGACGCCGAGCACCTCAAGTACCTGTGGACGGCGTGGATCAAGAACGTCGCCAGGCTGAGGCCCCAGTACAAGAAGCTGCTGGATTTGAGCAACACTGGTGAGTGCTGTTTTCAAGCTATATTCCAACGAGACCAAGCAGTTCAAGCCAGTTTCACCCCAAATTTTTAGCCGCCAAGCTCAACGGGTTCGCCGACGGTGGCGCGATGTGGCGCAGCGCTTTCGACCTCTCGAACAAGAACACCCCACCCAAGTTTGACCTGAAGGTGAAGGCCCAAGAGATTTACGACAAGGTCAAGCCGTTCTACCAGCAGGTAGGTTTTTATGCTTTTTGTTGCATAGCGGGCGCGTCGCGGTTATTCGCCAGATAATAACATTGCGTGTACGGTTTCGTAACTATGAACTCCTTCAGCTCCACGCCTACATGCGTCGCCAAATTGCTGGCATCTACAAGAATCCCGCCGGGCTCACCAAGGACAGACCGATTCCTGCGCATCTTTTCGGAAGCACTGGTGGGTTGGAGAGGGAGATAGCGAGAGAGAGAGAGAGAGAGAGAGAGAGAGAGAGAGAAAGAGAGAGAGAGAGAGAGAGAGAGAGAGAAAGGAGGGAGAGGGAGAGAGGAGAGAGAGAGAGAAAAAAAGGGAGAAAGAGGGAAGGAGAGAGATAAAGAGCACAGATCATACTGGAATCTTTCAGAAGGAGGCGAGTGGGCCAACCACTACGACCAGACGAAGCCCAACTTCGAGGACGACCCCGTTTCATCGGAGATTCTCGAGGCCATGCAGGCACAGAACTACACGTCTAAGACCATGTTCATCAAGGTGAGTATAGATTCTACAATACGCTTTCTTACATACCTCGGATTTTACGTAGAAGAGTCGTAGACACCTAGAAGTCACTACACAAGCACTTAAGCTCAAGTTGTCTCGCCTAAAATTGCGAAGATTGCATTAATTGGCGATTTTGAAGCGGTTTTAACCCCAGTATAATTTTCAGGCCTACCGCTACATGAAATCCGTGGGGTTCCCGTCACTCCCGAAGACCTTCTGGACAAGCTCCGTGTTCCAACGTGTCTGGTCAAAGGATATGCTCTGCGACCCGGCCGCCGCTTTCGATATGCGTGACGGAAAGGACTTCAGGTGATGAGACGATCTCTCTCGCTTTCTCGATTTCTCGCTCTCTCCCTTGCTCTCTCATCATTGTGTTTCAGAGTGAAGGCCTGCGCCCAGATCGGCGAGCCCGACTTCAAGCTGGCCCATTCCCTGTTGGCTCAGGTCTACTACCAATACCTCTACAGGACTCAAGCAGGAGCCTTCAGGTATGTTTTTAAGGCTTAAAAACTACTATCTAAAATCGATAATCAACAATGAATTTTTAGGGAATCCGCCAGTCCTTCCATCAACGAGGCCATTGCCGCTGTTTTCTCGCATCTGGCCTCGAACCCGAACTATCTGTATTCTCAGGTAACAATTTTTTTATAATACTGTAGCTACAACCTTACTACTTTAATTATCTTTATTATTTTAATTATCTTAAGATAAACCTTTTCAGCAACTCCTCAGCCACGAGCACCTCGAGATCAAGGAGTCCACAATTGTCAATAGGCTGTACAAGTGAGTAGCTTTTCGATGCGGCTATTTGATTACAGAATTACATAGTTGCAATTCTAGGCTATAAAATACACTGCGTTAGATAGAAAATTCAGGTATCTTTTCCTAGGGAAGCCCTTGATAACATCGCCAAAATTCCGTTTGCCGTCACCGCCGACACGTGGCGATATGACATTCTGGAGGGCAAGACCGACGATGACAAGTGGAATGAGGAGTGGTGGAAGTTGAGGTGGGCTGTCTTTCTCTCTCTTTCTCTCGCTCCCTCTCACTCTCGCTCTCTGTCCCTCGCTCTCTGTTCCTCGCTCTCTCGCCCTCTTTTTCTCTCGCTCTCTCTCTCTCTCTCAGGCTCTCTCTATCGTCTCATTTTCAGAGAAACCCTCGAGGGAGTGAAGGCCCCGGAGGAGAAGATCATGCCCGCCCAGACCGACGCCTTCATGCATACCCAGATCAACCAGGTATGTAGGGTTGAGGGCTTAAGGCTGGTGTAGACTTCGCTAAAAATACAACTAAACCTAGTAAAGCAAGCTATGAAAACTTCGCTTTAGGTCCACTCCCCTGCCATCCGAAATCTGATTTCCTACGTTGCGCAGTTCCAGATTCTGAAGTCGCTGTGCCCTCCGGATACTGAATTGGTAAGGGTTTGGCGGAATTTGATGGTGTTGAAATAGCGTAATTTATTGGTTATGGTTTATGGAAATTCACGAAATCGTCGCATGGCGCTACTAGATACAACTACAAAATGTGCGTAACGTAACGCTCACACTAGCGTAACACCGTCACACGCTCACCAATTGGATTTTTGCAATTCGTTGTGACATGTCAAATCTTCCTTATTCCGATGTCACTATCCCTTTAAACCCTCTACCTCTTCAGGCCGAGGGCTGCATCCTCTCCGAAGACACGACCTTCAAACTCCGCGAGACCATGGCCAAGGGCTCATCCATTGACTGGCTGATGGCCCTGGAGATGTTGACCGGAAAGGGTTTGTTGTAACGCCATTGAGTGTATGCCCTTGGAATTTCAGCCGAGCTTGATGCTCAGCCCCTGCTCGACTACTTCAAGCCGTTGATCACTTGGCTGGAGAACGCGAACGAGATCAACCAGGTCTATGTTGGATGGGATGGAGAGGGAGCGAGGTTCCAGGCGTAAGTGTTTTTGAAGATAGAGAGAGAGAGAGAGAGAGAGAGAGAGAGAGAGAGAGAGTAGAGCATTTTTCATCACTCAAAAACGACGACTACCACTATGAACTCTTTTTTAGTGACGAGATCCCGGAAATCCAGTCTGACGGCAAGGTGTCATCTGGAATTTTGAGCGAGGACAAGGTCGCTTTCCCCGGTGAGTCAAAAACTCACTTTTTTAAATCTTGCGGCGCTTTAGGAGGCGCCTGCACTAATGGTGAGGATTGTCTCTTGGATTCTCATTGTGACGGAAAGGTGGGATTTTACAAAAATTGTAATCGAAGGTAGTATGTGGTTTTAAAGAAATTTTATAGGTTTTATGTTCTAAAATTTATGCTTAAAAACTAATTTTCTACGTTTAGGTGTGCGTCTGCAACGAAGGCCTCTTCACCCTCAAGTTTGACAACACAGTCTCGTGCGTCGCGTCGAACCCGATGACAAGTGGATTCATTGGAGGCGATGGAGATGTGAGTTCATTTAAGGATTTTTTTTTTGTTATGGCTTTCCTCCAAATTTAATAATTTCACCTTGCTCCTTCGGCAGGAAACTAAAAACAATTTTATGCATATAATTTAGTTCATCGGCGTGAACCTCGTCCCGTCGGAGACCACGACGACCGAGGCCCCGAAGGTGACGACCAGGGTCACCACTTCCCGGCCGATTACCGTAGGTTTTTACGGAAATTTAGATCAGGCATGCTAGCAGAGATCCCTTAAGAAGTTGTAAATCGAAGTTAGGCTTATACGGTACCCGCGAAAAGTGAAGGTCTTCTTTCGCAGGGGTAAGCTGGCAAAGGTTTCTAGGGAATTTTATAAGTCGGACCATTTCGCCTAGTTTTCATTTAATTTATCTGTCTAACGTTTTAAAAGACAGGCTAGCAAAGATCATTGAGGGTGTTCTGAGCCTCATTAGTGTTGAATAAGCAATCGTACAAGCCTAAAATACTTGCTATCTACAGTGGGCATGCTAGCAGAGACCATTTGAGGAAAAGCTATCACTAATGTTCAAGCTTTTTTCATCTTGTATAACTGAGAATAAAGGCAGCTAATGGAGAACGTTCAAAACTTTCATGGTTCATTAAGAAAAACATAAATTTTTAATAATCCGAACTTTCAGCGCTCCGCCACCACCGCGTTCGGCTTCGGTTTCTTGATCGCGCTGCTCTGCGCGCTGTTTTAAATTTTGAAATAGTTTTCTACGCTAATTTAATGCCCTTTTTGCTCCAACCCAAAACCTCGTGTCCTGATTGCCACTATATTGCCTTTTCCTCGCCTTGCATTAAATTGCCTTACCCCACCCGATTGAACGTGTGCTCATTCCGCGTGTAATTTCTGTGTGCTTTCCGCCGGAAGGATATTATCGATTGAATGTTGTGATATTCTACAGTACCTTTTTTTGCTGCATTTTTAATGTTATTTTGAAGTGCCTCACATATCAGATTATTTTATTGATTTTTGATTGTCCATCTGGGCGAATAATAATTAAACAAACGGTATTCAAGAAGACAGAGATAAATATTTGAAAAATTGAATTTTATGATTTTACTATTTACAATGTGGGAGATTATTTTAATGAAGTTAGTTTTATTTTACTTAAAAATTATAAAAATATACTAAGGGGAGGAACCTAAGAAAAATCACTAAAAACCCGCTGCTCGACTGTTTTTTTTCAGATCCTAAACTGAGGCTTGGGCATTTGAAGGTTATGATTTAAAAAAATGGCTTTTTGATGATTATTTGAATAGCTTGAATAATTTGATTAGTACTTTTGAGGGTTACTGTAATATCCTAGTAGGGCACTTTCTAGGCTTACTGCAATATTCTAAAAGGGTACTGACTGTATGGCATTTTTCGGTAAAGTTGAGCCACCATTTTTTAGAGAAATTTGACTAGAAGAGGACAGCCTAGCATTGGATCCTATTTGAGAACTGCAAGCCAAGATTACGGTAAGAATTCAAGAAAACGAAAAGCTCTGACACTGGGCGGAATTGAACTGTGAACCCAAAAAAAATATTATCGAAAAAATGGGAGACTAGAATTACTAAAACTAGATCACTAAACGTGGATTTTGGTGTAGGGTCTGTGTCGGAAGTGATAGTTAATGAAATTTTTAGTCTGGCTTTCCAAAATTGGGAAAATTCAAAGCTGGTTTTGGCTTGTACCTTAAAAATTAAGGTGGGAAGGTTTCTGAAGGCTGGGTTTCGCAAAACTACCGGGAAAAGTACAAACTACGGCTCACAAAGTGCCAAGCTTCTGGGGGTTTCGTAAGGAGGCATAATTTTACATTAAGAGCTCAGAAGACAGCCTCGACAAGATCGACTCCGTCCGATTCTGAATAATAACCCAAGCGTCGTCGGCCATTTCTTCTACAGTAGTGTAGCGGACGCGTTTTGGATTGAACAGGTCGAGCACGAGCTGGGTTACCTAAAACCTTCAGCTTAACTTGATTGGATGGCTAGTCAAAACACTTATATTCTTTTCAACTATCGTTTTAGACACATTAAATGCTATTCCTTACCTGCTCCTTAAAGTAGTAGCAAAGCTCCCCAATTTGAGCATCAGTTCCGAGAAATCCGAGGGTGATGGATGGAGACACAGCCTCGGAGATGTTGTAGAAATGTGCGATGAAGCCGTTGGGGTACTGTAATGATAAATTACGGTTGCGTAACGTAAAAAATTGCTGAGTTTTTTTTAGATTTTCGTATGCATGGCATTTAGCGTTGCGTGTTCCGCGCCACGAATTGCATGTTTGCGCGTCTTTCATAACACGAAACTTACACATACGCCTAATCCTAAGCGAAGCCTAAGCAAAGCCTATGCTAAGTCTATGCTAAGCCTATGCGAGGCCTATGAGAAGCCTACGCCTAAGCCTAAGCTGCCTGAACTAAAGCTAGAAAGGTGTGTCGATAAAGCTTACCTGTAACCTCTGCCGCTTCGCCTTCAGCATACTCCAAATAACAGTAGATATCGTTGAGTACTTCATACTCTGAGACAGCCAGAAATTCTTCGTCACTGAGTAAATCGCTGATGGTGGGGACTTCAGATCCCCGAAGGCATCCAGCAAAATAAAGTCGAGGATGACGTCCCAGAAGCCGAGCTCGGGCACCTGGAAGTGTAGAGGTAAGTTTTAGCGATTATGCAATGCTACGCAAGGTTTCTGATGGTTGTGAAAAGTTAAAGTAACTGACTCACCCCTCTCATCCTCAATTCGTCCTCAGCCATCTCCCGATTGATCTCATCCTCGAAGAAATTCATCATGTCGTCGTAGGCCTTGAAGAAAGTCGTTGGGTCTTGTTGGCAGTTCTGCATCAGGTTTCCTAGCAGGGTACGGCCAGAATTTTGGAGCCAAACCCGGCGATGCTCATCTGCGCAGACAATCTGAAAAAAATGAAAAATGATGTCTAAGCACTAAAAAACGGAGCTTCGAGATGCTTTTTGGGAATCAGAAAATTACAAGAAAGCTTGAGCTTTTTAACACCAAAAGCTTTGATCTAAACTGGGTAAAACTGACATTTAAAGCCTTTCTGATGCAGAACAACTTCGCCAAAAACTCTTCTTCATTGGCGCACTGACATATATCGCTTCGGTCTCGACGACAGGCGACCTAAAACGACATTTTTAAGGGAATTCTGCACATTTTTTAATACGAAAATTCTGTTTCTGGATTATGTCTAGCTATGTTGCTACAATTTCAAAAGATCCCACCTGTCCATTCCTGGCCGCTTCATAGCCCTGCTGCAAAAACAGGAGCTCATCACTAGCGATCTCATAGTTCGGAGCGGAGGGGTCTTCGTCAAGCGAGACGGCAAAGTCCTCAACGGCCGACATGAAGGACTCGTCGGAGAGGACGGACAGGGTTTTCGTCCTCATCGACGGGGCCAGCTGGAAGCCGCTGCCGAGGGAAACGCCTGAATCGAAAGTGATTACAGGAAATCCTCCATTTTCCCGCAAAAAGTCGCAGATCGAAGATAGTATAGTATGTCGCATTAATGATAACAGAGGGCTAAACTCTGCTACGCGGGTGCGCAGCTATTTTCTTTAATTGGTTTTGGCATTAATTAGTCTTTTTCAATATTTTCTACGTCATATGAAATCCTAGAAAAGCAGAGAGTGCTGGAATGCTAATGAGCAACAGCTTACCGTCTTCCGCCTTCAAGTGATCGAACCCTCCTTCTTGGATCACCCGATTCAAATCGGCCTCGACGAATCGAAGCCGATCGAGGACTGCGGCAAGACTTTCAGCACGTTGCCGATCCCTTTCAGAGCGATTCTTGATCATCTCCAGCCCGTTCATGGCTTTCTGCAGGGAGGAGATGGTTTCGCGGCAGTTGTCAAGGCCTGAAAGATTTTATGTTCAGCGCTTGATGTATATAACGTAAATAATAGGTTTTTAGACATCATATGGATAAAACGCTTTAATGCGATTTTAACAGCCTTTAAATATTTGCCTTACCTCCAAAGAGTACCGCCTCATTCGGTGGTACGCTACCACTGATGCTGGGCCCGAGACGTCTCCTCATCGACTGGCGAGACGGAGCGGTGCGATAGGCTAAAAAACTGCATTTAATGGTTTTATAACCCTAAATTTCCATATACAAAAATTACGGCATTTTTAACTCAACTCACTCACTCTTTAACTCACTTCGATCCGAATCTGACAGGTTCGAGAAGTCCGTGACAGAAGGGACTTCTGGTGTTCTCAAAGAAAGTTGACGACGTTGGGGCGGCTTTTTCGGCTTGGAGAAAAGCCTTAAATATTGTAAATGTGGATTTGAATCAATTATTAAACAAGAAATATATTAATAAACTAGCTTAATTCACGCCACTTTAAATCAGAATGCCGTTATTATAGTTTAGTGTATGACTTCGCGAGATATGGAAGAAAATTACAGCTTTTAACTTTACTGAATCGATAGTTTGTGAAAATATCTAATATATTTATTATTAAAAATAAATATACTAAAAAATAACTTAATCATGAGAATTTGCGTACAAACGCCGCGATTATAGTTTATTACACGCATTCGCGCTATATGCGGGCCAACATATGGCTTTCTAACTTTCTTGAATCGATTGTAGTTTATTAAGCTCTATAGAACTATTCATACCGTCATTACTAACCTCTTTATCCACCAGCTCAACAAAATCACGCTGATCCCGACGCCAACCGCAACGAGAGTTTTTGTCTGCGTCGGCATTTTCCATATTCGGCCTCCGCCGACCCCGGCCAGGGGTGCCGACATTTTACCGTTGGTAAACTACCTGAATTTTTAGTAGCTTTTTCGAATGATTTCAAGAACTTTAATGAAATTTTCAGAACATGGGATTTCCTTGTGCGGGGAAACCCCGCATTCGAGAGTCAATTAGAGGACAGGGGGGCACCCATAGACACTTCATTGAGGCGCCATTTCATTGGGCCATTGTAAGGAATTGCCAAGTAATCCAGCTGTCGATCAAAGTGACTCTCATTGCCGTCAGTTTTTTTCACCTTTTCACATTGCGCTTAGACTTTTCATTTCATTTTCGGTGTAGCAAAAAAATACAAATTAAGCATTTTTCACACTTCATAGGTTCGCTTCTCCTTCCCGCTCCAGCCAAGCAGTTACGCCATGTAAATAAATCGTTTTTAAAACTAACCAAAAATCTTTAAAATTTGTCGGTTCTTTAGGATTCCCGGGGGCAAAGTATTCGGGGGAAACCAATTTTTTCCTGGTGGTCCCGGTTGACCTAGTAATCAAATATAAAGTGTTTTCGAATTGTTTTTAGTAAGTTTTAACTATATTTAAAGCAGAATAACTTTCAGAAAAATTTAGAAAAATGTTTGAAAAAGTCGAAAATTTGGTCATTTTGGGTCTATTTTTCGACCTAATTTTTAATTTTTTACATTTTTTTTGGTTAAAATGTGTGTAGTTTTTATGCACAGGGATAGTTAAAAACAATTTAGAAACGCATCCGCAATTTATACAAAAATCTAGGCTTTCGCCAAAAAAAATTTGTTTTCCCCCGGGAATACTTTCCCCGGGAATCCTAAAGAACCAATTTGTCCAGTGCAATCGGCCACAAAGTATTTCATCTCGCTCTCCGAATTTGCTCTTGCTCTTTAAAGCCCTAGATTTTTTTTAAGTTCAGGTGACCTATAGTGATTTGCAGATCCCGGCTAGAAGCGAATTCCAGCCGCGACCTCAGACGTCGAGGTAATGTATCAAAAACCGGTCTTCCTGCCAGTTATCGTCATCCTCCTTGCGCTCTTCTCGGGATGTCGAGGCGATTCATTAAATGTAAGTGTCTTGTCATTTCCGACAGTATCGCTAAACGTAAATTGACATTGATCGACGTTACAGGGTGATCGGGGCCTCACAGCGCTGAAAATTCGCTATAATTCGTTATTTTATGTCCCGTTTTTAGGCCACGAACAATAACACATCTTCGAGGGCTGAATTCCAAAAATCTGCCAAGGTTAATGGAACGGAAGACATTGCTGCCATCCACCGTAAGTATAAATTTACGCCTGTTTCTCCTTGATTTTTAATGTAGTAGTGGTTAGTCTGATGAATTTTTGCACTTTTTATATATAATTTCGACCCTGAAATGCTTGCCTAAAGAGGAAACCTGAATGCTATTAAGGCATAATGGGTGTGGTAGATTACAGTTTCTTTCGCGAGTTCCTGATAAAGGCTTATCACACTTTCTTTTTCCATTAAGGGGGCATCGACGCATCGCGTATAACTTCTTGTCCAATCTATCTAAAAAGAAACATGACGACTTTAAAAATACGAGTCAAGCCCAAAACAACCTTGAAATTCAGGCGTCGACGTCCCGGTGAAGGACCACACCGTCGAGGCGATACTTGCTACACTGGCGATATTGATTTTGGGCGTTGGTGCCTGTTACTGTATCCATCTGTATCGCCGTGAGCACGAGCGTACGCAGAGACGCCAAATTGAACCAGAACAAGCCAAGCAGGTGCAACTCAAAACGTATACGAAGGTGGCGCCCAAGTGATACCGAATTGTTTTTGCTGTTGTTTCCATTCCATTTGCTCCACAAATATTGCTCAACCTACATGTGATGTTCAAAAACTGTTATACCTCAAACCCGCTGCCTTATCCAGGGTGCTATTCTTTTCTGTGGTAATGATACTTCGCCTGCGATTGCCATAATAAAATTAATTTCAATCAGCTGACGCTAAGCGCACAATAACGATCCGAATGAATGAAAAACTTGAAAGCAACTGAAATAGTTGTTCATACTCATTTGACCAGAATTAGCTAATCAAAAATAGGCCTATTTTTTGCAAGCTTTGCTGCGTAAATTCTGTTATCTAATTGAATCGCGGGCTGGTGTGTTTTGGAACGCGCCCCCTTCCATCCTTATCTTTTTTTCGGCGGTCGGTTAAGAGCAATTCAGCTGTTCTTTAAGCCTTTTTCGCGTGGCTTTAAAAAATTGCTTATAGGAATGTACTTCTGGCTATAATTGCATGCAACCATACTACGATGCTGTCGCCTCGGAAACGATTATTCTGTATTTTCCTTTTTCTCGTCTCTTTCGTGTTCGCCTACACCTCTCAGGGCGTAAGTGGTAATAACCAGAAAGTAGCCATGATATCATGTTTTTGGTAATTTCTAGATGGATTTGCAAATCAAACTGCAAAACTGAATCGTGCTTTGTATTCTTAGACATTTTCAAGTTTTCATTCAGCAGGCACCGGACACCTGTTACATTGCAGTTCGGTTTGGCAACTCCCGGTTGGCATAGCGAAGACCGATCAAGTTCAAGGGCCCGTCGACTACGAGATGACGGAGTAATTTGGAAACACTTCGCAGAACAATCTGGTTAGTGAACTATCGATTATTACTTGACCTTTTCATGCAATATCCAAATTAAATGAGAAGTCCTTTATAAGTAGTTTGACCTTAAGGGTCATAGATAAATTAGGGATTTTCAGAAACATGGCATAAAACGTACGACGTCAAGATACCGCCTGGGGTAATCATGGCATTGTATGCCGGTGCGCTGGTGCTCCTGGGGATAATTCTGATCTGCTTCATAGCAACCTCAAATTGCAACCCAATCCGGAGGAGCAGCCCGGAACCCTGTCATACCAGCCAGCTCCGCGCGGATCAGTACCGACTGATTGAGGAGAGCCAATCGCGCAGCTCCACGCTCGATCGGAGGTAGTTGTATTGTCATAGAGCAGACGATATGTATAAATGTATGTCTCCACAGAAAAAGATTGTCGAATACAATGCAAACTTGAAAAATACAGAATAATGGAATTTGGGAGACGTCTTACAAACCGCCACAATGGTGACTGAGAAAAATCATCTTTTTTGAGTTCTTCCTTGAAGAATCGATTTTTATTACGGCCTGACATCAGCCGATTTTTTTTCTCTACCGTCCTCTTTTGCAAGGCATTCCGGGAAAAGTAGAATCACAGCCACCCCCGCCCCAATTCAGGTAAAGATAACAGGCTGCCCCGGGCGCAAAAGATAAATGCCTATCAATCTCCTGCTATTGAAAGCATAATTCGTACGTCATCTAGCTATGTCACCCAAAACGCGTATTTTTTTTATTGCGCTGTTTGTTGCTCTCGTCTACGGGTACACCCTTCGCTCAAGACAGGTCTGTTTTTGTGAGTTCTAATAACTATTTTTTTGCCTTGAACAGTGTAAGACTATCTCACAAGACGGTAGGACTGCCGTGACCTAGAAAAATTCTAGTGGACTGTTTTCTGGGGGCGCCCTATGCGGTCCAAAACATTTTTGAAATTCGAAGGTTTCGAATTTTGGTTTAGCTAATGATTTGGTTGTCTAAACTTCTTCTTCGCGGGATTTTTCCATGTTTTATACTTATTTCTTCCAGTCCACCACCAAGACCCATTTGTTGAATTATGACGTCGAAGAAGACGCAACCTTTGCCAAGGATCAAGGTGGGGGCTTTACTTCCCAGAAAATTCCTCTTCTTCCCTGGTAAACCCTTCCTCAAGTTGTTTACATGTTGGGTGATGGTGCCTGCAATCTTCTAGGCACTGCCGGAAATGAAAAAAACCTGGAAAAAATCAAAACAAATTTTACTGGCCCCCACCCCAAAATCCTTATCGCGATCACGAAGACTTGGTGGCGCCACGGAAGCGGGTGCTGTGTTGCCTTGCTCAAGCTATTTTACGACTCAAAATTGATTGACTGCTGTTTTCAAGATAGAGAACTTACACAAAGCGACACCACCTAAACAATTTTATTTCAGATAGCGGTCCTCTATTGTCGGAGAACGCCAAGGATGCGTTATTACTACTTTGCGGATCCGTCGTCGTTTTGGCTCTTGTAGGCTGGATTTGGTACGCCAATCAACGTGCAAAAGAGGCCCGCGACAACGAATTACGGCGACGGGGCAGCAGCGGCCAAATCTTTATTGAGTGGGATGAATGTTGATAATTTTTGATCGTTGCTAGTCTTTTACCTTGATTGGGTCGATCCATATCACGTTCGGCTGGCGCTCATTTTTTTGAAAATCATATTTCCGAAAATCACGTATTAAAAAAATCATTGTCTCAAATATTTCTGAAAATCACTATTTCAAAAAATTGGCGTCGCGACTTCAAACCTTATGGGGTCGTTTCCTATTCATTCATCCTATTCATCCATCCATTTTTCGAAATTGTGATTTTCGGACAACTGATTGAGAATATGGCTTTCGGAAAAATGGCTTTTCAAAAAAATTATCTTTATCTTTGAAAAAGTTATTTTCCAAAACTTGATTTTTGAAAAAGTGTATGCAAGTCATCGCGTTTAATTCGGTGTTTGCAAATAAATCAAAACGTTAATCAGTCGATGGAGGGGTGAGAATTTCGCCCAAACATGCCGATAAAAGACTATTATCAGCATCGAGTAACTTGCCGGGACAATAAGCGGCTAACTTATAGAAATTAGTAAGTGTTAAATCGCATCAAATCACATCACAGAGCGCATGCAGCGATGTCACAGTACTTGTCAAAAATGCCAATAGGAAGGCGGCGATTGCCAAACACCTGTCCGAAGTACATCTGTCCGAAAAATCACCCGTCCGAAAAAAACATGTGTCCGAAAAAACACTTGTCCGAAAATCGTCTATCCGAAAAATCATATGTCCGAAAAGTCGTGTGTCGTGAGTCGCGACGAAAAGTCGTCCGAAACAAAAATTTATGATACAGTAGCGGTTCGTATTCCTGGAAACTACCCTCCCATTTTCTCCAAAACCCGGTTTGAATAGATTACCTGAAGGTCTTGGGAAGCTTCAGCCGCACTTCGATTTCAGGGTCCGAAAATGACTTTTCGGACAGTAGATTTTCGGATGGATGATTTTCGGACAGGCGATTTTTCGGACAGGCGACGTTTCGGACGGGTGATTTTTCGGACAGATGTTTTTCGGACAGGCGATTTTTCGGACAGTTGTTTTTCGGACAGATGTTTTTCGGACAGGTGTTTTTCGGACAGGTGATCGCCACCCAAGGCGGCGATCCAGGATAAACATAATTAATTTGCATCTCAACCAGTACTCAACATGGTCAAAAAACAATCTTCTTTCTCACTCCCCTACCAATGCATGGCGGCGCTTTCGTGGCGGTGACGCTGCTGCTACTTTTTGGGCGGCTACAGTCGGCGGACCTTCCGCCTGTACGTTTTATACACGGGGGATCCCATGCAAATTTATGTTAGAGTGCAGTTTACCCCGCCCCCCCCGCCCCCCCCCCCCCCAGCCGGCGCTCAAACTTTTGTATCTCGGCTCCCTGTTCATCTACAGGTGTGTAAAGTATACCAAAATGTTCGTCTTGCTCTGGCGAGTGGTTTCGTATACTTTACACACCTGTAGATGGACGGGAAGCCGAGATACGGTAGGTGGGGGGGTAAACTGTGTACGTTTCTGTAAATTTGTCTAGCTGTAGGCGTAAACGGGCCATAAACGGGTCTTGACAAAAAAAGGCAGAATGATAATTCAGTGCCCGACGCCGAGGCGGTGGGCCTGCTACGCAAACGAGTGGCTGGAGCGCCAGGGCCTACCCCGCTATCCACTGCCTGAGGTTAGTGCATGCTTATCCGAAATTTTTTAATCAAGACCAATCTCGTCATTTAGTGCAAGCCCTGCAAGGACTACGCACTTGCATGTGGCCCGAACGCGCGCACGAAGCGGTACATGTTCATGATGCTCGACTGCAATCCGACCGAAAAGTTTTGTGTGGGTTTTATTTTTTGGTTTTTTTATTTCTAGAGTCCCACCTCGTTAAGTTGACAAAGTGGCTCGAGTGCATTTCCCCCCCCCCCCCCCCACCCACCTTGCCGACCACGACCTACCGTATCTCGGCTCCCTGTGCATCTACAGGTGTGTAAAGTATACCAAAATACTCGCGAGAGCAAGACGAACATTTTGGTCGACTTTACACACCTGTAAACAAACAGGTTGCCGAGATACAAAAGTTGGGACCGGCCGGGGGGGGGGGCTGGGACGGTAAACTGAACGCTTACCATTTTCAGCCCGACGACAAGCGCGGGGCGACGTGCATCCACCCCGTCGTCGTCAATTATAAAGGTCAAGATTTTTTTTTTGGGTTTTTTGAAGGTTGTTTGGTTTTGTCGTGAAAACATCGAGGAGCTATGACACAATTACATATGTATTTCAGGAGCAAACATCTCGATCCTGTTCCCGCACAATCTGTGTACCCGCGAGCGCTTGGCCGCCGACAACTGCTCAAAAATGTGCGCGTTTTTATCGATTAGACACCTCGAGTAATGAATGATTGTCCAGACTCCCGGACTACAACGCGAGAACCCCGATGTTGAGCACCGACTATGTGGCGCAGTGCGACACCGGCTACGCAGTGCCCGCGTAGGAGTTGCTCATTGTAGAAGGCACTCAAATTAGGTTTTCAATAGGCTTTTGTGGTGGGCGTTTAGTTTGTGAGCCTCCCCAACTCATCGCTAAATCCTATTAAGCTGCCGGCTATTTGAAAAGCTTTGCCTTGGCCGGAAATCTATAGAAAATTGGTTTCCGCAAGACGAAAATTAGCAGAGACTCAAAAAAGAAACTATTCTTTTTATGACGTGATGTCGATTGGAAAGCGAAACAGAAGATCGATTTTGGAATGAGTATAGCATTTGCCTGATTTAGTGCGATCGCCGAGAAGAACCGCGGGGGCCAATGTATCGATAACCTGGGCGATGCGGCTGGTTTCGAGGAGTACGAGACGTCGCCGTTCCCCGATGAGATGCCAAGCTGGGACGTCATAGAGGTTAAGGTTGGTCGGAAATTCATAGGGCCTCTTAACAAAATGCTATTTTGAAAATTTGTGATGGGATGATGCCACGAATCGGAATCGTGATTTTCGGCGGCAATAACTGTTGTTAATGTGTTGGTTTTTAAATACTAGCGCTCGAGAGATCTCCGCCTAAATCTCCGGAAAGCCCCTAAAACGGCGACCAATCATGTCTTTATTTACTTTTTTAAATCTGCCATATATAAAACAGCTCGAAATAGAGACATAGGTATCAACAAAAATGTTGCAAAATTATAAATAATAGAAAGAATAAAAAGAGAAGGGGTGGTGGACATGGAATTACTGTCATTTTTCCTAAAAATCATTTTTCCTAAATTCATTTTTCCTAAATTCATTTTTCCTAAAAATCATTTTTCCTAAAAGTCATTATTCCTAAAAATCATTTTTCCTAAAGTTCATTTTTCCTAAAACCGGTTAAATATCGAAAAAGTCTCTGTTCTTTAGTATTATGCATCCAAAAGTCGAAATTTTTTATAATAGATTTAGATATGCCTAGAATGGTCATAGGAAGTATTTTAGTTGCGCGTTTAGCTATGATTTGGGTGATTTGATTTTCGATAAAAGCCTACTAATAACCAAACCAAACAAATACTGCTAAAAAATGTCAACATTTGGCCTTTCTTAATATTTTTACGCATCCCTATTGAATGAAAAATTTTAGGAAAAATGAACTTTAGGAAAAAAGATTTTTAGGAAAAATGAATTTTAGGAAAAATGATTTTTAAGAGAAATGATTTTTAGGAAAAATGAATTTAGAAAAATGAATTTAGGAAAAATGATTTTTAGGAAAAATGATTTTTAGGAAAAATGATTTTTAGGAAAAATGAATTTAGGAAAAATGAATTTAGGAAAAATGATTTTTAGGAAAAATGAATTTAGGAAAAATGAATTTAGGAAAAATGATTTTTAGGAAAAATGGACATAACCCGTCCGTAGGTATCAACAAAAAATATTGCAAAATTATAAATAATAGAAAGAATAAAAAGAGAAGGGGTGGTGGACATGCCCCCCCGCCCCCGCAGAACCCTAATAACCTCCCCCGCTAACGGACCAGAACCGGGCTTTTGGTTTAGATATCATCCCGATTCGATCTTTCGTGATAGAAGCAGAGGGTCCGATCCTGCATCTGACAAATTTTCAGTTCTGTGACCTGCAAGAGGCGCCCGGCGAAAAGCGCATGTGCGTGGCGCCTCCTATGTGCGATCAGCGGCTTCGATCAGGCGTCCCGTCCAAAGACATCCTGCCGCATTGCCATCAGCCGTGCGTGTACAACGTCAGCCCGAACCAGTACCGCGACTGTCAGCCGCTCGACCTCCGAATCGGGGAGTCGCACCAAGCAAGGGTCATCGCCGGGTACCGGCAAAAGGTATGGCGCGATGGATGAGAAACGTGCGGTTTCCCCTCCCGCCCAGCCGATCCCCGCTTACCGTATCTCGGCTCCCTGTTCATCTATAGGTGTGCTAAGTATACAAAAATACTCGCCAAACTAAGGCGTACATTTTGGTATACTTTACACACCCGCAGGCCAGCAGGATGCCGAGATACAAAAGTTGGAGCGGTGGCGGTGAGCGGAGCGGTGGCTAGGGGGGGGGGGGCGGTAAACTGCACTCTAACCGAAGAATTAAGTGAACTTTTTGATATTTTCGTTGTTTTTGTTTTGCTATATTAAATTGTCGTAGTCGAGTCCCCACGCGACGCTCATGACCCGCGCCGAGAACCTGAAGCTCCTCCCCCGGTCGGCAGACGAGCGAGCCTATCCGAGATGTATCCGGGCAGAGAAGCTGACGGTCGGAACTTTGTTTAGTGGTTCTGGACTATTAGCGGGGGGTTGTTTCGCAGGATCCATACCGCTTTTTGTTTTTCCGCCCATGGCTCGCTGTTGGTGATATTTTCGGTATTTTTATACACTGGTGGACATAATTTTAACGGCACCCAGATTTTTCGAAAATTCTCGATAGTAGAGTTGTTTCGAGAAAAGCTTTCTATTGAAGCAAGTTGCCGTATTCCATCACAATACGGTACCCCACAACCGTTTTTCCATTCCAGGCCGAGAAATTTTTTTAAGAAGACTTTCATCAAAAAAGCACTTTGGCCGGCGGCCATAATTATAACGGCACTCCCGGAAAAAAATTCTTAAAATTCGGTAATTGATAGCAATTGGCTAAAAACGATTTCAATAACCTTTGGCTGCCCCATTTGGCTGAAACGGACGGAAGAGACCGCTCTCCAAGTCCAGATCAGGCCCTTCAAGCAGCTTTTAGCCTGACTTGTTGCGGTCGTCAGAAAATCGTCTGCGCGAGCTCTCTACGCTCTGTTCCAGGGTTGGAACGTGTGTCCTAAGAAGCCTGGAACATGTTCAAACATGCTCGAGTCAAATCAGCAGGCTTGCCAAGCCGGCGCTTCGCTTCCAAGCCCTTAGAATTCACTCGGGGGCCGCCTGATTCGAGTAAGCGAGGCTTGTTCCCGTTAGAAAAATGAATTTTCCGTTTGTCCTTCTACCGATTCCGTCTCCCATATCGAAGAACTCCATGGCCGAACTCATTATTGTATCCGAATTCGCTAAATCACAAGGATTGTCATGAAAAAGACTTGCCCCGCATTGACGCTACCCCCTGAAAAATTTTTCCTGGAAACCAGGAGGCTTCTGGCAACTTCTGGCTGCTTCTGGTGCGAGAGAGCTTTCCATCCATTGCGCTGACAATTTCTACGCGTCAGCAAACCGATCTGGAGCGCTTCCAAACTCGTTAAGAATAACGATGACTTATTCAGTCCGCTGTCAAGCTGCTCAGATTGAATTGGACTCGATTTGCTTGATTTGCTTTGTTTCAATTTCTCGTGATGTGTTAAGCGAATGAGTACGTCGATGGGCGAGACGGAATCGGTAGAAGGACAAACGGAGAAGTCATTTTTCTAACGGGAACAAGCCTCGGTTGCTCGAATCAGGCGGCCCCCGAGTGAATTCTAAGGGCTTGGAAGCGAAGCGCCGGCTTGGCAAGCCTGCTGATTTGACTCGAGCATGTTTGAACATGTTCCAGGCTTCTTAGGACACACGTTCCAACCCTGGAACAGAGCGTAGAGAGCTCGCGCAGACGATTTTCTGACGACCGCAACAAGTCAGGCTAAAAGCTGCTTGAAGGGCCTGATCTGGACTTGGAGAGCGGTCTCTTCCGTCCGTTTCAGCCAAATGGGGCAGCCAAAGGTTATTGAAATAGTTTTTAGCCAATTGCTATCAATTACCGAATTTTAAGAATTTTTTTCCGGGAGTGCCGTTATAATTATGGCCGCCGGCCAAAGTGCTTTTTTGATGAAAGTCTTCTTAAAAAAATTTCTCGGCCTGGAATGGAAAAACGGTTGTGGGGTACCGTATTGTGATGGAATACGGCAACTTGCTTCAATAGAAAGCTTTTCTCGAAACAACTCTACTATCGAGAATTTTCGAAAAATTTGGGTGCCGTTAAAATTATGTCCACCAGTGTAGTGTTTTTAATAGTTTTTGATTGCTAGGAAGTTATGCAAAATTTTTAAAAATGTCGGAAATTCGAAATTTTTGAATTTTTGGTCATTTTTTGGTTTCGCAAAAACCTCACGCGGCTATTTTCAGGAGACCCAACAAGCCATAATCCGAAACGACTTGTTTTTGAACTGCGAGACGAACCCCTACTACAAGCGCAACAACCAGGATCCGGAGCTGTACATCGAGCCGGTCGACTGCGGGCCCGACGAGTCGCCCAGCGAGGTGAGAGAGAGAGAGAGACAGACAGACAGACAGACAGACAGACAGACAGACAGACCGACAGACAGGCCAGAGAGCGAGCGATGGGAGAGCCAATACTTTTAGATATTCTGCATCGCGTCTTCGACCATCAAGTTATCCAATGATCCGAAAAACACTGATAATCTGCTGAGCGACCTGCCACCAATTAGTAAGCCTCGAAACTCAAGTCATACCTAAATTGGGTACCTTAGACAAAATAAAGAATGCCCTATACTATTTTACAAGTTTTGCCATCAACAAACGTTTTTAGTCATGGTGGGCCTCGGCTTCGGGCCGGGCATCGTCGTCGGAGCCGTGCTGCAGTGTCTCGTCTGTTGCCTGTGCTTCCGGCGTCTTTCGAAAAAGGAAGAGTGGGGAATTGTGTATTTATCAACAAAAATAATTTAATAAAAAATAATTAAGCCTGCGGAAAGCTAGCCGAAAATCTTTAGCCTCATAGGAGTTTTTTCAACTCAAAATGATCAGTTCTCGGCTTTTCGAGCTATTTTCCGCCACTTTTCAAAAATTTTGCGTCAAATTTAGTTAGAAGAACGGCTCTCAAGAAGTTAAATTTTTAGCGCCAAAAATGCGCCACCTCACCCACCGGAAGCGCCCGAGTCGCCGCAGACGCCCGAGACGCCCCTCCGATCGGCAGAGGCCATCATTGTCGGCGTGGGCGACGATTTCAAGACCATCGAGCCCCCATCCACCGACGCCATTCCGACAATCACCGACCAAGATTTTGCTGTCCCGCGTCAGGTACGGTAGTCGGGACATGGTTTAGAAAACCGAAAATTCCCCTTTTGCGTTTGGTGCGAATTCCGCAAAAATCCCTGCTAGCTGGCCAAGCTACGTTAGCTGCTCCTTTCGGACCGTTTTTCCAAGTAGTTTCCTTAAATCGTACCCATTTTTAGGCGAGCAAGTCCAATCTCGACTCGTCCATGCCGAAGCACCAGAAGTACGAGAAGACGGAAGAATATGGTGCCGTCCCCACACTTGAGCCGGTCGGCGAGGTACGAAGACCCAACATAAATTGGAATTACCGCATCTTATCCAGCCGCTGCCCACGCAGCCACCTCGCGACGCCTCCAAGTCGAGGTCGCGCCACACCGACCCCGCCGAGCTCGACAAGCCTGGAGCCGTCAAGCGAACGGCTATCTCGAAGAGCGGAGGAGGAAAAGTGGTAGGAAAATTTAATTCTTTTTCTCTTTTTAAAAGACTATTCTGGCCACTAGAAATACAAAACTTGATTAAAGCATACTATTTACCTTTTTTTAGAAATCCGGAAACGATGCCTCGGGGTCGAGGAGGCCAAAGAAACCGAGGGCCCGCTTTGGTAATAAGGTGGAGCTGCTCGCTGAACAGGTGGGAAACTCTCTTTCTATCTCTCTCGCTCTCTCTCTCTCTCTCTCCCATCAAATCAATCTCTTTCAGGAACGCATGATGGACGAGATGGACTCGGTGGAATAAATGCAAGATCATCACCAGCCACCATCCCGCTGTCGCTGCCAAACGACCCTCAAGCAAAAAGCATCCATGAATTTAATCGAAACCTGAAGAATTCGTGCTAATAAACCGATGTGTTGTCGATTGTTGTGTTGCGTAGTTTACACTATCCTACCGACACTTTTGAAATTGTGTGATCTTTCTTCAGAATTCTAGGGAACCTACACCTGCTTACGTTCCAGCCCCATTTCCCAAGGGGCCCATGCTAGCTGACATCTTTGGCGCAGGGCTTCCTAAAGGTCTCCGCGATTTACCCAGTGGCTCGCGCTCTATCCTAAAAAATCTCTGCTTGTTCTACTTGCTTGGAGTAGGCAGCGCTAAGAATCTTGACAAGTTTGCGCGAATGCTATTTCAAAATCGCATCTGTCAGCCTGTCACTCGTTCCACCAGTGGTTCTCCTCAGAGCTATGTTATACTACCTCCCGGTTAGGACACGTACCTTATCGTTAAAGCGTATTTTCTAATTTACTCTTTTCCCAGTTTCCCCAAGCATCTCTGCTCGTCGCCCTGATCGATTTTTCGCATGTTTCTTCATTCTGCCAATCATGTATCAACCCTCAATTTGCAGAATATTTATTCCATACACATATGCAAAATGTTTTCGCCCGCGGGCGCGTATTATTGTTCAACATCTTGACGTTTCATAAAAAGGGGTGTGGCGGTGTTCGGGAGTCGGGGTCGATGCGAGGGGGGCGGGCTGCTTCATTTCAGGTGTCGTTCAACGAGACGGGCGAGTTAAGGGCGCTGTAAAAGAGACTGTATAACGCAAGCGAGGGAGAGAGAGAGAGAGAGAGAGAGAGAGAGAGAGAGAGAAAGAGAGAGGAGAGAGAGATACCTTTGAGGTGGCGGGTTTCTTCCTGGAGGGCGTCTTGCTTGTGTTTTCGATTTGCGTCGCTCCGAGGTCCTCCTTCTCCTCGCGCTTCTCATCCTCCTTCTCCTTCTCCTCGATGCTGCGGATCAGGTCGAGCGGCACGGCGATCACGTTCGCTCTGGAAAAAATTGATAACCATGTTTTTTGACGCCCTTACGCGCAGATGATCAGGAGGAGCTTCAGATTACCACCCAACCCGATAAAAACCAAATGTATCTCGGCTTCCCGTACATCAACAGGTGTGTAAAGTATGCGAAAATACTCGCCAGTTCAAGATGAACATTTTGGTATACTTTACAAATCTGTAGGTTGAGGAGGAGTCGAAATACAAAGTGGGAAGCGCGGTAGGAGCGGTCGTTCGTAAAGGGTAGCGTCCAGTAACTTGCAAAACTTCCCACCTCTTCTGCGTGATCGTCACCGGCACCTTGAGCGAGTCGCTGGAGGGTGGCGTGACCGAGATTTCCTTGCTGATCGACTGGGTCCTCCCGACACGGCCCGAGCCTTTGCCCTGGTTCGACTTCTTGCCGGAACCCTTTCCGGACTTCTTGGCACCAGCCTTGCCCGAAGGCGGCTTTTGACCCGAAGCTGGTTTTTCGGTCGACGCCTGGAAATGAATGAGAAGCTCCAAGAGACAAGAGAGAGAGAGAGATATCAAGAAAGAAAGGAAGACATTGATACCTTATTCTGACCCGACAGATCGTTTTCCTTGTAGCTCTGCGTCTTCGCCAGGGGTACCTTTGCCTGAAAACAACTGAGTTTTAGGCCAGAGAGAGAAAAAGAGCCAGAGAGAGAGAGAGAGAGAGAGAGAGAGAGAGAGGAAGAGAGAGATAGAAAGAATTCTGTTTTTCGCCCTCACCAATTGTTTCGCCACCAATGCCCTGAGCCGGTCCTCGTAGTCGATTTTCCCAACCGGAAATGGTCGTCCAATCGCCCTGGGCCTGGGCGGCCTCCTCGGCTCGGGTGCTTTCGGCGGTGGAATAACCACGTCCTTCTGAATAGATGATTTAACAATTTAAGAGCAAGTTTTTGTTGAAATAATATTTCATTTCAGATGGAAAATCCTATACTCTGCCATACCCCCAGGGGGTATACCCCCCATGGGGGTACAAAAGGGGTACGAGGTGGGGGTACAGCGGGGGTACGGGGTGGGGGTACAAAGGGGTACCCCACCCCCTACTCCCCCCCCCCCCAGCAACCCAATAGACATTTTCCAGTTACCTCCGACACATACCACATATCGGTGGCTCGCAAACAATTCAGGAAGAAATGACGAAGTCCGCCGGAATTTCACCAAGGCAGTTAATAAAATACGAAACTTGAAGTAAACATTTTTTAAATTCTTGTGATTTTTTTCCACTTAAAACAGGTCTGAATTTTACTAAAAACATTATTGAAACTCTTACTATAACGTTACCAGGGGTTTCTGGGTTTATTTCAAAAAGATTGGTCCGCCGATAAACTTTCAACTTAAAAAAATGTTTAGTTCAAATTTGGTATTTTATTAACTGCCTTGATACAATTCCAGCTGACTTCGTCATTTTTTTGTTGTATTTTTGCGATCCACCGACATGTGGTATATGTTATGTGGGAGGTCGCTAGAGAAAAATTTGCTGTGCTACTGGGGGGTACCCCATTTGTACCCCCACCCCGTACCCCTTTGTACCCCCACCTCGTACCCCTTTTGTACCCCCATGGGGGGTATACCCCCTGGGGGTATGGCAGAGTATAGAAAATCCCCTTAAAAACCTTCGGAATTTTAAACGTCCCAAATTTTTGTCAAGGGCACGAATTTTTCGAAAAAGCCTTAAGGTTATCTGCAGGATAGTAAAGTCGGTTTAAAAACAGCGGCTATTTTCATATTCGAAAAATTGGATACTAAAGAATAATATGGTTTCCTGCCTTACACCCCCCAGCAAATGCCAAAGCACCAAACAAGCCGTATATGTATTCCCTACCGGCTTTTCAGCCGCAACAAGGGTCGGCTTCTTTGCGGCTTCTTCGGGCTTTTGCTTCTGGTCTTCGGGAGTTCGCTTGCTCTCTTCTTTTTTCGGCTTCTCCGCTTCGGTGCTTTGCTTCGGATCTGCGGCCTTTCCTTGGCTCACTTCCTTCTTCAGCTTGTCCTCCTCTTTTGTCGGCTTCTCCGTGTCGGCCTTTCGTTTGTCCCTTTCCTGTTTTCGCTTCTCGTCTTCTTGTTTCCGCTTCTCAGCTTCTTCTGCCCGCCGCATCTCGCGCACCCGATCCTCCACCTCCCATTTTAAGTGATAGGCCGCCATTGTCTCCCGGTCGGCCTTCCGCGCCAGCTCCACGTCGATGGCCCGGTCCTGTCGTTTGAATCTGGGATTCAGATTGTGAATGCAAATCTGGTGCCATACACGCAAAGCGCGGTGAATGCCCCGCAAAGGACGGCGAGGACGGCGAGGACCGGGACCGCGATGTAGGTGAAGCCATCCTGGAAAAGATGGATGAAAGCGAGAGAGAGAGAACAAGAAATGCCAACGTGATTTGCACACAAAATTCGCATGTCTCCTTCAGCGCTTTCTCTCTCTCTCTTTCTCTCTCTCTCTCTCTCTCTCTCTCTCTCTCTCTCTCTCTCTTTCTCTCTTCTCTCCTCTCTCGCTCCCATTTCTTACTCTCTCTCTAAAACCTCAAACCCTACCTCCAACGAGAATTCCGGCACTACCACAGTTGTGGAAGGTTCCTCTGTCGCTGCGTCAGTAGGCGCCCAAAGTACAGCTGCCAGAAGGAGAATCGCCGTCGCACTGGACGCCATCCGGCCCAAAGATGGCCACATGGCGGGCTGAGGTCGAGTAGAAATGGAGGATTTTTCGTAAAAGTGTGCATTGAAAACAGGTTTAAGCCAATTACGCTAAATTTCATGCGCAGTCCAATTTTTTATGCAAATTTTTCCTCCTCCTTCCTTGAAGTAGTGGTCTCTCTCTTTCCCTCTCTCTCGTGCGTTCTCTCTTTTCTTCCTTGTCTTTCTTTCTTTCCTTCGCTACCCTGCTATTTTCTGTTGTTTCCTGTTTTTTTTCTGGATAGCCCTAGTTTCCCTAGTTCCGTTTTATCCGCCCAATTCCAAAGTTTTTAAATATTTCCGGTCCTATAGAAAATTTTGACCGTTCAGCCATTCAAAATTTCAGACAGACCCCGAATTCCTGACCAGAAACTTTGACCGCTAATCGAACCCCTCGTTCCTTATCGACACAGATCGCCGGGCCAACCCCCCCCCTCCTGCTTTTGATATGGCCGGCTTATTTTGGCGACCACCTTGAGGGTGGTCTGGCCGCATTCCGATATTGATTTCCCGGAAACTGGCTATAACCCCTGTGAAAATTCCTATGCTGCGATTGGCTGTTTTGCTAGCTTTATTTAATTTAATTTCTGTAGCTTGGGCTGGCCAGATATATTTGGATCCGACGAAGCCGACAACCACGACGGCGGTGGGTTAGAGCGAGAGCTAGAGAGAAAGAGAGAGGGAGAGAACGAGTGAAGAGAGAGAGAGAGAGAAAACGAGTGAGAGAGTGAGAGAGTGAGAGAACGAATGAGAGCAACAGCTAGAGATATTTTTTTCAGGAGCCAACCACTCCCAGTCTGACCCGAAGATTTCTAGCTCAAGTCCCATTAATTGGAGAAATCCGTAAGTCTCCATTTTCTTTATGCTCTAGTTTAACCATTTTTTAGAGAAAAATTCCGGCCCTGCATTAGCTATATGGCTAATCCTCCTGATCATCTTCTTGGTTTTTTACATTCCAGCCTCGATATTGTATTTTGTGCGAAGATATCGCCGGGAGCGTGACGGGTGAGTATTCTTATTACGGGTGATATTTGGTGTCATTAAAGTACTGTGGAACTTTTGTAAACCGAGCATCGCCCAGCGCAAATTTATTGATATTTAGGACATCAAGAAGCCCAACTTCCAACGGTCGATTAGAAGAGCTGGAAGAGCTCAAATTTGTCGATGAAGGGAATGGAAGGGCTAAAAATGGGAATGGACGACATGTCTAACTTGGAATATACCATACCACCTCTTCTCTAATCCTACTACTTACTACTAATAATTACTTGCAAAATTTTCCATACGAAGTTGCAAATTCCCTGAGTATTTTGGTATTGTACACATCGATGACCGCCCTATCTCTCGCGCCCTCTTTCTCCTTTATCTCTCGCCCTAACGTTCCTTCTCTATCCATCTCTATCTCTCTCGCTCTCTCTCACTCTCTCACTCTCTCATCTCTCTCTCTCTCTCTGTCTGTCTGTTCCTCTCTCGCCCTTTCTCCCTCATTTTCGTCCTACAATCTTAGCTCTTTTTATCCAATTAGCATTTTTCCGATTACGACAGTTTTTCCTCCCTTCTGCAAGCCAACCCTATTCAAATGGTAAAATTTCTTGCACGAATAAAACGATCGCCGTATTATGTTATTTTGCACCCATTTTGACCTTGCCCCAGGCAACCAGCCGAGCTTCACCACTCTGCAAACATAGGCACCGAAGCGATGAGGCATCGTATGGAAAATGAGAGAAATCGAGAATATCGAGAGTGAGCGGTAACGTGTAAAAACTGAAATCAACAAGTGCACCGCCCGTTTTCTATTGTACTTGAGGGCATAATGGCGAACTTGGTGGGCGATGGATGGCTAGACAGGGAGGAGCGAGAGCGAGAGAGAGATAGAGTGAGAGAGAGAGTAAGAGAAAACGAGAGGGTCTGAAAATGGAAACGATGTGCGTGACCGGGAAGGTTGTTCAAAGACGCTCAAAAAAAGCCAAAAATCACCCGGGACGATTCCATGCGAAGTAGTTTTGGAACTGGGTTCAAAAGGGCTTGCTAAAGGAGCTAACAAGCTTAAGGTTCAGCCCCTCTTTGGAACTGGGTATCGAGAGCTACGCTAACATAAGAAGTAAATGCCAATTACGCAAGTTACATCATTCTGACATCCCTCTTCTGAAAAAAATTGGAGTTATAAGCGGGTAGCATTCTTGCAGAGATTTTTTAGGAATAAGCTTTTACTTCGGACAATGCGACGACTTCAAGGAGGGTCCAGGCAGAGAACTTTTGCGGAAAGCTGGTGGATATTTCAGCTCTGTCTCTTTTTTGTGGCGGCTGAAAAAGTCCTTGCAAAACGTCTTGAAAAGCTATAAAACTGGCCCCTTTTGCTTGTCTACAAGGGCCAACTAGCAGAGATCCTTTGAGGATTGTTTGCACGAGGTGGGAATTTTTAAAGCTTACCTGGTAGGATTCGCGAGTTTGTTTTTCTTTTCGGCAAGTTTCATTTACTCGCCAATTCCTGGGTCGGCTCATTGTCCCGTTGGCAACAAATGACAATAAAAGTAGGAAGAGTGAGAGGGAGAGAGAGAGAACGAGAGAGCGAGAGAGAGAGAGAGCGAGAAAGATACAACTACAGAATAAAGCTCCAAAATTGACTAGACACTTTCACGCCCCCCCCCCCACCTCAAGAAAGCGAAAGTTGTTTTTGCCATCCCCGCAGGCTGTACGGTCTCGGGAAATTGAGAAGATTGTCTTTTTGGTTGTTCCTCAATCCGTTTGTTCAGCCCGGGGGGGAGCACGAGCAAGAAAGTGATAAAGTGAAAATCGGGAAAGGCACACAGATGCACAAAAAAACGGATAATTTGAGGGATTGTGGCATTGAACTCTCGCGAGCGGGAGGAGGTACCGCCTACCGTATCAAAATCAAAATGTTGTGTTTGGAGGTTGGTCGTGGTCATTTTAACGGCTAGACTTTTCTTGCTATGAAGCATATAGTGGGCTAAATTTTTAATCTGATTTTTTTACAATTTTTGATCGCAATTTGGAGCTCGGCTCTGCCCTCGGGTCACTGCCGCCCCGAAAGACCTCTCCCCTCTCTTAGCCCGGCCGCCACGCGCCCCAATCGCCTGCTTCCGTGGCGCAATCGGCAGCGCGTTCGGCTGTTAACCGAAAGGTCGGTGGTTCGAACCCACCCGGGAGCGTACTTTTTGCTTTTTGGAGGAAGGATTCGGAGAAGGTCCTAAAGGTATTCTCAAGTTTTAGGTCAGTTTTTCAGTGCTTTCAGTGGTAAATTTTGTGAATTCTGAGCAAAGCCGAGCCGCCAAAGGATTACGACAGTAAATTAAAACGTCTGCGGTCCACTGTTTTCGACCACTTCATCTATTTTTGCCAGATTATTGATTCTTTTTCCGCATTTATTGTGGCCAGAGCAGTCATTTTGCCCGGTTTTTAAGGCTACAGCTTACTTAGAAAATTTCCCCGATCAAACAAGCTTCTTGTGACATAAAACCTATACTTAAAGTTAGAAGCGAAAGGATGCGAATACTTTCTATTAGAGGCGAATCGCGTTGAAACTAATTTCTATTTTTCGGATTCAGCAGTACCGAATTCAGCAGTACAGGAAATATTTTAAAAACCTCATTCAACCTCAGCAAGCAGTTCACAAAGGTTATTCGATCCGCTACACCCAATTCCGAGGAGGTGCTACTACCATTTCCCCCACCCTCCCGAGCAGCTGATGAGTAAGAAGCTCTTACTAAAAGAAAGAGGTGATTCCAAAGGTTCGAGGTCATTCTAACCGGGCACACACCTATGAGGGAAACGACAAGCTGACCGAGAGACGCCCCCGAAGGGAACTTGCCGATGTCATCCCTTTCTTTCTTGGGTTTCTTTCTTGACTGAATTCCGCTTTGCCATTGGCGAGTATCCACTAAACAACAGTTTCCCCAATTTTTTGGCTACTGTAGAGAATAGCGGTCACTCTAATTAGGTGGTTATGCTGGAAATTGGCTGCTTGAAGTCAGGAATTGATAATTAACGATCAGAATATTCAAATTTTATTCTGCGGCCGTTTTCTTATGTTTCCGGTTATTCCTGACCTACTTTTGGTCTTTCAGAAAAGTGAGGTATCTCGTTAATCGCGTAACTCTGGAATGACTTTTCGTTCTCGCATTTCCGCTTTCTCTATCTCTCCCCTCTTCCTTTCTCTCAGGTTCTCTCAAACTCTCCCCGTCTCTCGGGCTTTCACGCTCTCTAGCTCTATTTCTCGCGCTATTTTACTCTCCCGCTTTCGATCCCTCTCTCTCGATCTTATGCTCTCTCGCTCTCATGAGGTTTCTAACCCGCTCCTTCGAGCTCTCTCCAGCTCTCCTCTAGCCTAGGCCTTAGGTTAGGCCTGACCCAAGCAACTCTCTCTCCACCTCTCTCTATGTATATCTCTCACTTTCTCTCTCACTTTCTCTCTCTCTATCTCTCTCTCTCTCACTCTGAGTGATCATCCAGTATCCTCAAATGCTTCAGGTAATTCCTCCGCCGAACCGGGAAAGGCGGTCCATCGGAAAATCAGAGCAGCATGAAGTTACTGGTAGCTTCAGAAAGTTCTTACACTTCCAATCATCTACATTTAGATACCTTTTCTGGCTTTAATCGGCTCCTCCTTAGCCGGAAACTCCGGAGGATTTTATCAGGGGTCACCACAAGGTCCGCCTCAATATCAGCAGCCAGCTCAGGTAGAAAACATAATTTGTTGTTTTTATATTAGTGATTGTAGGGATTGAAAAATTACGATATTTTCGAGATTTCTTCGATGAAACTCTCTTCATCGAATGTTCGATCGACAAATTTTTTTAGTTCTACCAACAACCCCAACAAGCCCCTCAGAACTTCGCGCCACCTCCGACACAGCAGTACTTCCAGTACGTTACGCTACCGTCTACGCAATCTAATTGACTTTTTAGAAACCCCGCTCCCCCCGCAAAACTATCAACAAACCGGCCCGATCATCGGTCAACAGCCGCTGCAACAACAGCAGGCCCCCCAGCAAAACTACGGGCAGCCAGGGCAGCAGCCGCAGCAGGGATGGGGGCAGTGAGTTTTTCATGAGATTAACATTGGCATTAATAGGACAATTTAAGTCTTGGAACGTCAGAACCTAAGCAAGAGAGAACGAGAGAGAGCGAAAGAAAGAGGGGGAGAGATGAGAGCGAGAGAGGGGGGATAGCGAGAAGAGAGACAAAGCGAGAAAACTAATCGAAAAACTTCCAGGCAAAGTGCCGGTATTCCTCCAGCGCCAAGCCGTGCTTCTTCAGCTCCTGCTAAGGTAATTTGCCTTTTCTATCGAGATGATACGGTAGCTGTAAAGAGGTGTAAGCTGTAGCGTTGTGTTTCGGAACGTGGTGTCTTCTCATGTTTTATTGATTTTTGTGCTACTCATTTAAATGATGTTTTTAGGCCAACGGAGGCATACGCGCACGTATCAATCGGAAAGCGTTTGAAGATATTTCGCCGATTGCCGAGCAGATTCTGAACTCCGAGATTACGAAGGCCAGGCTGCCGCCGATTAGCCAGTGCATTCCGCAGGTAAGAACAACGAAAAAAATTACCTATTGACCTTCACAATACCTTTAAAATTAACCGGCGTCCCCATTTCACCTGGCCTAGTCAGTTATAAGCTTCACAAGACCTAAGCAAGTAAAATAAAACATCCTTTTCAGGCCGATGGCTGCCTCCAAATCTACAACATCTTCGTCGCCAGATACAAATGCCCCACTTCGGTGAAAATCCGTCCAGCCGAACCAAACGTGATTAGGATCTCGGTGAAGGGCCTGGATATTGGGTTCGTTACCGTATTCTGTTTTCTATTTTGTTGTTATTCTTCTGGAAACACCGACGGTTTCTAGAGTGACCAGCAACCTGGGAGGCCGCTTCGTGATCCTCATGCCAATCCAGTTGTTCGGCATCGTGCAGGCCAATTTGTTCCATGTCTCTTTGAAGGTCGACCTGACAGTTCAGAGGTGAGTAGTGGCGGAGTGCAAGATAGAGAGAAAGGGCAAGAGGAAGAGAGAAGGAGAGAGAAAGAGATAGGGAGAGAGAGAGAGAGAGGGGGAGAGAGGGTTCAACGAGGTAAAAATTTGCTTAGATCGATCACCGGAAGTCCTCAAATCGGAGTCGCCAGTTGTCAAGTGAAAATCGGAGGAGCTGACGTTTACATCGAGCAGGGAGGGCTATTGGGACAAATCGCGAACCAATATTTGAGGGTAAGTACCGGTTTCTATCTCATTTATCTCTAAAATACTAACTTAAATTAACTTTTTAAGTATATCACGGACAATTTTCGCTAACTTTCACGTTTCCAATTTCAGAAGCGCCTATCGAAAATCATCCGCAAAATGGCGCCCCGAAAATCTGCCAACAATTGCCCCAGGTTATCAACGAGAAGCTGAGCGGAAAATTATCAGGTATCTAAATTAATACCGAACTTTGTGCTTTTAAATTCTTTAAATGATTTTCACTGTTTTTGTCCCGTTAAACCCAACTTCCAGCTATCCCTCAATCAATTTCCGTCGGCCAGATGGTGGACCTCTTTGGTAGCGCATTGGGATTAGAGGAAGGAGGCTCTGAGACGACTACGGTAATGGGCTACGGCTGCTGTATCTTTCAATGCCTCATTTTTTAGGAAGCATCCAGCGCGGATTCCGGCAAGACTGAGGATTCTGGAAAGACGAGCGAGTCTGATTCGGATCTACAAAATGTTGGCGATTCGGGAGATTCTCAAGTTTCGGTAAAACAGCCAGTGGAGTACTAAGGTTTATCAAATTTGTAGACGATTGCCGATTCTGCTAGCAGCTCTTCAGTGTCGGAATCTTCTGGCACACCAAAGCCTGGATATCAGGATCGTAGGAAAGGTAAGAAACTGGCTAGTTGGGTTTTTAAAGGGGTTTTTACGGATTTGGTGTAATTTACCGCAAAGCGACACGCACGCAAGCGCTCGTCATTCCATGGGGTAATCGATTACGCGTTGCCTGTCAAGGTGCGCATAATATCACCGGGAATGCATCGACCAGGATGCTTTGCAGATACCTTTAAAACCGAAAGATCTTCTTCAAAGCTTAATATATCTTTATTTTCAGTCAAGAAAGCCCGCGCCGTCTCCAGAAGGCGCTCGGCTAAACAGCAGGAGGTATTTATAACCTTAAACTCTCTAAAAATACCTACTCTTACTTTAGAAACGCCACAATCATCGTGTTGCCCGAGCTGTACCAAGCTGGGTATGTGGCTTTAGTGACTTTAAAATACATCACAGGCCAATCAAACCCTGGAGTCATTGGACGCGCAGAACTATGAGATCGAGAAGCAAGCCATTGTTCGTGCACTAATGGCCGCGATGGATTTGGTGGATGGACCCGAGGTATGGTTCAAAAAGCGCGAAAAATATAGCAGCTTTATAGTTTCAAATTTAGCCCAGTACTTTATAAAATTAAAGCTTTAGCTTAGCTGCCAATGTCAATTGCAAAAATCAGATCATAACGTTTAGAAAAACGACCTCAACCGACTCCCCAGAGCCAGCAGAAATTCGATGGAGCCGGAGAGCTTTGGCGAGATCCCGAAGGTCAGGAGATCGTCTGGACTCTCTTCTGGACTCAAACGGAAACTACGGTAATTGATAAACCGTTTTTTCATATTCAACTTCATTTAGTCAATCTGACGACGATGATGACTCCTCATCATCAGCAACGCCAAGCGATCCAATGGCCCTCCTCAAGCAGTTCGCCTCCAAGCTTGATTTTGTAAGTCGCGTCGTCGGCATTACCCAAATGATCTCTGCTCAATTACGATTGCTTCTGAAAATATACCTCTTGATTTTCAGAAGAAACTCGATGACGTCTCTGTCTCCCTCGGGCTGGTCAAAACCGAGGCCTCCAAGTGCGGATTTGCCGTCGATTTGGATGGAGAATTCTCGCAGAATGCTGTTGGTAAGTAATTGTTAATGGCTTTCATTATCGCTCGCTCGCTCTCTCTCACTCTTTCTCTCTCTTTCTCCCGCTCTCTTTATCTCGCTCTCTCCCCTCGTTGATCAATTTTATATACCCTCTGTATTTCCTAGGTGGTACCCCTACACCCCCAATCCGTACTGACTTCCCGGAGCAGTGCGATAGCCACCAAGCCGAGCTTATCCTTTCGGACTATTCGATCAACACGCTGCTCTACAACCTGCATCAGTAATTCAGATTTTCGGTCCATGAAAGCGCTTGAATTCCAGAAAGATTTCCTCTCCGTGTCGCTTGGGCCTGATACCCCCGTTATTGGAGCTCTGTTGAAGGATTGTACTTCGGATGATGAGGACGACGATGAGGATGAGGGGATAATGACGTTCAGGTAGAGGGAGCGAGAAAGAGAGAGAGAGAGAGAGAGAGAGAGAGGGAGGAAGAGTGAAAATTCCTCGACGTTGTAGAGCTATCTAACTTCGATTTATAGCTTGATGATGAAGACGAAGACGAGGATAAGGGCGCTCAAGAAGAAAAAACGCCATGTAAGTCAGTTTCCACCAGTCATTTTTACGCAATTTTTATAGGTACGTCATCACAAAAAGTCGGCCAAGCGCCATACGAAGAGATCAACTCGCCGAGCCGCTTTGCTAAAGGCTGTCAAGCTTTGCAGAGGGATCGCAGGCAAAGGTAAGTTATTTTGCAGCTGAACCGAAGCCGAGGAACTGCCGAAAACAATGATTTAATTGTTATTAAACCAAAAACTACTTCTTAGTCGACCTCTCCCTCCCCCTCTCCCGAGCTGGGCTACCAACTTTTGGGCACTGCCCGGAATCAGGAGAAATACGCCGGAAAGACTTTGAGTGAAATTATCTCGAATTATATAAACTTTCCCTTAATTAATCTCGGGGTACTGTCAATTTCTGATTTTAGTCTGAC